GGCGGCCGGAGGTCAGCCCTGCGGGTGCCCAGTGGGGGCTTTATAACTCTGAAGAGTTTTTCTTCCCTTTTTTTTAGTTGAATTTTTGGTTTTCGCCTCCCAACAGGAACCAAATGACATGGCTGACGAAGAGCTGAGCGCCCGAGCCGCCAAAAAGGGAAGTTTGTCACCCAGCAGCTCGCGGGGCAGCACGACCGAGTCGAGCACGCTGCTGCAGGAGCTGAAGAGCACCATCTCGTAAGGGCAGCGCTCGCTTTTCCCCGGGCAGCTCTCCCAGTTAATCTGAGCGTTACCAAATGCGGGCTAATTTAATAAGGTTGATTAATTTGCAGCCCCAGGGACCGAAGGGATAGGCATTGCGGTGCCTTGCAGCTTCTTGCGTTGGCGCTGGTGCTGCAGAGTGGCGTGGCCTCAGGCGTGCCCTGCTCGGTCCCGTGCTAGGTGCTGTACACAGAGTGCAGCCCCGCGCTGCGCTGCTGGCAGCTTGCTGCCTGTTTTGGGTGCAGAATCAATTCAGGGATTCACGGTAGCGCACATTGGTCTGCTAGGACCCCATGGGAGGTGGCTTTACGCCTGCTCTGCTCTCCCGGGGGTTAGGGTAGAGGACACAGCTCTAGAGCGGGGTTGTGGGTGCACAGGGAAACCCGGAGCGTGGGGAGAACGGGCTGCGCTGACCCATGGGTGCAGGCAGCCTTCGGCTCTTGGTGCTCCAGCGTCCCCGTGTTGGCGTTGCCGCTCACCCCGGGTGTGCGTGTAGGTCTGGAAGGGCCCGGGGACAGCGCTGTCCTCGGAATCGCCAGGCAGCGGCTGCGGCAGAGAGCTGGGCGGGTTGAGGAGTGCTCTGGGTGCTGCGGTGTCGTCCTGCTCTGCGCTAACGCCTCTTGTCTCTGTCCCGCACAGCAAATCCGTGCAGAACAAAGTCGACTCCATCCTGGTGAGTGCCTCGTTGTGCTGAGGGTGAGGGAACGAGGCGTCTCCACCTCTCTCCTCTCCTAGCTAAACTGAACCCTGGGTTTTGGCTGATCCCATTTCCTGGTGGGTCAGGATCCGCTTGCGGGGATTAGCCCCGAGAAACCCCTGATCACCCTGCCCAGGGGTGGCACCCGCTCCCCCCGCCCTGTGTGGGACAACCCTTTCCAGTCCCCTCGAGGGGCAGGTCCTGTGACTTCGTTTGCCCGGTTCCCTCGCGCGCAGGCTGGGTTCATGCTGACAAAGCTGCTCCGGTTTCAATGCCATTAAGAGAGTAACGAGAGCGCTGCCTGCACCAGCTCTTCCTTAATTTGGATCCTTAACCTTTCTTTGTCTCTGGTCCATTCTCCCCCTCCCTGTGGACCCTTTGACCGTAGCAAGATGTCCAGAAGTTTTCAGACAACGACAAGCTCTACCTCTACCTCCAGCTGCCGTCGGGGCCAAGCCTGGGGGAGAAGAGGTGGGTGCCGGAGCGAGCCGGGGCCGTGTCCGGGAGAGCAGGGGCTGTCAGGGCAGTGGTGGGGGACACAGATCGCAAGAGGCCAGGAGGGAGATTGCCACGGCTCTGCCTTCTCCTGTCCTGCTTGTGCTGCTTCTCTGCTAATTAAATGTTTGTTTCGGGCTCCTACGGGAGCAGCGGTAGCCTGGACCTGAGCTCGCTGAGCACGGCCGAGTACATGCACGCGTGCAACTGGATCCGGAACCACCTGGAAGAGCACACGGACACCTGCCTGCCCAAGCAGGACGTCTACGACGCCTACAAGTGAGCGCAGGGGCCGGCCTGGCGCGAGGAGCCTTTCTCCCCGGGGACAAGCCCAGCGGGGAGGTCGGTTCGGAGGGCAGCGAGTGCCCGGGTTTTTTTGGGAATGGCCTGGCCCAACCTTGGGCTCTTGAAGCGGGAAGAAGCGGGTGCGTCCGGAGGGCAGCGAGAAGGGCTCGACGGCTTTACCCCGCGGCTCTACCCGGCAGGCGATACTGTGATAACCTCTGCTGTCGCCCTCTGAGCGCCGCCAATTTCGGCAAGATCATCCGGGAGATCTTCCCAAACATCAAAGCCCGAAGGCTGGGAGGCCGAGGACAGTCGAAATATCCTTCCGCGTGCCTGGCTGGCCAGGGAGGCCCGGGGAGCTGGCTGGACTGGTGGCTGCTGCTTCTGCAATTTTTCCCATTTATAAGTCTGTGCACGAGGTGGTATTTTGTAGCTTCTGAGAGGGTCTGGTTCCTGGTTTTTCGGCTCCTGAAGGTTCAGCTCGGTTTTCTGAGAGGGGCTTGGAATTGCCGTGTCCTTGCCATCCACTCGGGGCAGCCTGGGGGGAGCTCACGGCGGGCAGGGGACACCGAGAAG